AACTATTTGAGCGCATAATTTATAACAAAACCTTCGAATATTTTACTAAAAACAACTAAAAAAAATCGGATTTCAGAAAAACCATTCAACTGAGCTTGCAACTATTGAAGTAGTCAACCAAATAACTGATGGTTTTGTCAATAACAAAATAACTTTCGGAGAAATTATTGATATATCTAAATCATTTGACACAGTTGATCATTGTATTCTTCAAGATAAAATAAAGCATTACTTTATAACTAATAAAACATATAACTGGAAGTTCACATATCAAAAGCAATATGTGCACAATGTACAATTCGGAGTACTAATGAGAGCGCTTGCTTTAGAAGTAAGAGATTCAGGGTTCGAAGCGAGCTCTGTGCAAATTTCGCGCAATTGTTAAGGAAAAAGGCGTGAATTTCATAGTTAAATTCTCTTCTGCCGTGCTGTGTGACAAGACCGCTAGTTCTTCCCAAGGCAGCAAAAAAAAAAAAAAAAATTATTGATTTATCTTAATTACTTTTGTAATAATGATTCATTAAAACTAAACTTTGCTTACAATACAAAACTATTTCTTTCTAATAATGATATTAAACAACTATAAGGGGATGTACTAATATATGCAATGTACTAATATATACTATATACAAATATATATTGCACGGTACTACATACTGATAAACGAAAAATAGTAAATATTTGATCTAGACAAATAAACTATCACTTACAGTTGAGAAACGAGTTATACTTTGTTCTGTAAAAAAAAAAAAAAACAATTTAACATGCCTTTTAAGTTGCCTGATCTTCTTTTAAATAACAAACTAATTAAAAACAAGTATAAAATTCTCAGGAACTCTTAATAATGAAATTTATCCTAGCTTCCTAAACAAAACATGGAATGTAAGTCAAAAAAAATGTAAATATACAATAAAGTCTTTAGGTTCATTTAGGTTTCAAAAAATAAAATAATTTTTAAAATCTGATAATATTTTAGAAAGTTTTTTTTCCTCTTGTTTTATCCCTTTAGTTTTGTTAGACTGGATTTTTGTTAGACTGGATTTAAATGGTTTTCTTATAGTTATTATTATTAGTATTTTTTTATCACTTACTATGAGTATTATACCTTATGATATATTGTTTGAGTTTTTATCAGGCTTTATGAAAAGATTGAATTAACGTTTCCTTATCTTCTTTGAGTCTCAACATGTTTTTAAAATTTCTTTTTAAACTTTATTGTTTACTTGCCTTTTTTTTTTTATATATTTAAGTTAAAGTGTAAATTTTTTTTTTTTTTAAACAAAAAAAAAAAGTATAACTAACTCTTATGAACTTTCCTCACATACATTTAGGGCTTTTATCGACTTTGTAAGTCGATATCGACTATATAAGACTTATTAGCTTTTTATCGACTTATAAGTCGATTTAGGACTTTTATCGACTTATAAGTCGATAAAAGCCCTAAATGTATATTAGTAAAGTTCAAAAGAGTTAGTTATACTTTAAGCTTTCGATACAATTTAAACTTACGGATTAAGCAAGTTTAAATTAGTTTACAAGCTATTTATATAAAAAAATTGGCTAATATAACTTATGAATTGGTCAGAGACCAATATAAGTTTGTCTTCTCTTGCTTATTTAAATCAACGGCCTACATAAAGTTTTAAATTTAATGATGCGCATGACACGAACTTTTTTTTTTATCTTATAGTAATGTTACTTTACTATTTTAGAATATGAATAATGAACTAGCAAGAGTCTCTAATTGGTTTAAGACAAATAAACAATCTCTTAATATTAGTAATAGTAATAGTAATATATTTAAATCAGTACATGACAAATAATTAAACAAAAACAAAATCAATTATACAAAAATGTATAGTGGTTGCAAAATATAAATTTTAAGTAAAAAAAAACATTTGTTGTTCCTTAGCAGATAAGTTGAAATCAAAACTGAGAAAAAGAATAAAAAAAGATTTTATTTTCACTTGGATTTCACTTCTTTAAATATTCACTTAAATAAAAACAATTAACTACGTTAATAATACAAAATGGTTTTATCTCATCCTAATCACAATAAACACTATAATAACAAAATAAAAACGATTTATCGCACGGATAAATCGCATTAAAAATATGACTACTCGGTGTAATTAAGGCAATTTTTTAAATTTAATTTAATTTAGGTACCCCAAGAAGTCCCTCCGGTCTTATCACAGAGAACCGCGGATGAGCATTTATTTACGCGGGTGAGCATTTAATTTAATTTAATCACGTCTCTGTCCTAACCAATGTCACAAAACTTGCCCAGAGGTGGGGTTTGAACCACGGATCCTTTGTTTCTGAGGCAAGTGTACTACCACTGCGCCACGACTGCTCATAAATTGAATCTGTGAATTTAAAAATATTATAGCGTCTGTATGATATTTTGTTGACTACGATCTATTACCGTTAAATGACCAGGTCTGTGAATTATGAAAAAACGAAAAAAATTAAAATGATAAATTTTGCCTGATCATAAAATATAAATGTTTGTAGCAAAAAATCCCAGACCAAAGGTTCTTTTTTTTTAAAAAAAAATCTTCTTAAAATCTCAACCGCTTGTCCAAATTTGAATAAGATTTTATATAAATACGTGTTTTGATTGAAAACGTTTATTGAAGCTTTTTCTTAATTATAAGCTCTTTCTTGGTATTCTAGTATTTTTTGTGAAAATTAATAGAAATATTGTATTTTGACAACTATATATTGCTAATATACGTCACAAACGATTAGAACTATAGTAAATTAAGGCACTTTTTCAAAAGATTTTAACTAAGTTCATGATAACATCAATGAGTGAAAGTGATATAAAGACTCCAAAATGGTGTTCTTTAGATTCACAATTAGGAATAGTAAAATGGTTTTGAAAATTATATAAAAAACAGAAAAGTTTCTTCAAATATTAAAAAAACCTAAATCAAAAAAAGTTATAACATCTAAAGCTTTTGTTTGGACATAATACGCTTATAAAATTATGCTAATTTCAAATGAAAGAAATCGAATGATTTGAAAATCGCCTTAACTACACCGAAATCGCCTTACTTACCACGCTTATAAAATCATGCTAATTTCAAATAAAAGAATCGAATAATTTGTAAATCGGCTTAACTACACCGAGTAGTAAATCATCAAAAAATAGGAACTTTATAAAAGCAAGAAGTTTTTTAAATAAGCACTTTACATAAGCTATATCATTCACTCATTCATTGTCATATAAACTAAACGAACGTTGCGTGGAGTAGTATTAATAAAAATAAACTTAAACCTCTTTATAAAACTATTTAAAACTCCGTTGAAAGACGGAGGTAATTATTGTCAAGAGAAGCTTTATTAATTTTAAGAATCGATTTACTCATGCCAAGCCTCTATTAATTGAAATGATATTTTTAAATATATATATGAGGCTGACATATTTAATATTTTTTGCGTCATGTTTAAATGTAAACACAATCTATTCCCTGTACCACTTCATAATTTGTATACCGAAAAAAAAAAAGTTAAATATAGTTTATCAAATGATAACAAAACTCTTCAATCAGCTTTTCAAACTATTTTCGCAAAAAATTAGTATATTATTTGTATGCAATTTAACTAATATTAAAAATATGTATATATTTTATTTTCAAATATAATTTATAATACTAAAGAAAATGTGAATATTTTAATAATATGAAATTTTGACAAGTAAAGTTTTTAGTGGTTTTGATGACACAACCTTACAATCTTCTACGAGTCCCCACGTTTCTTCATTTGTTAATAACGATCGTGTAAATTTTTATTGAATATTTGTATTTTACAACGAAATTTTAAAACGAAACAAAACAAAAAAACAAAAAAAACAAAACAACAAGATGTGCAAATATAACAATTGCAACATAAACCATAATTTATGTATACAAAACTATTTCCTAACGGTACTCTGTACTTTTTGAAGCAGCTTTTTAGCCATAAATACGCAGGCTTTTTAATTGTTCAAAAATTGTTTATAAATATATTTAATTTTAAAGCGTATTTAAAAAAAGTTGAGGGGCTATGGCCTCATAAATGCCCTTAAAACCTCATACTTGTCTACTCCCATTTATAAATTTATTTTCAGTTACACTTGTTTTTGAGTCACGGTTATTTTATGAGCAGATGTGTTTTTTTTAGACTGGCAGATGCTTTTGTATAAAAAAGCAGACGTTCATTTTATAAAAAGACGTTCATTTTATAGAAAGACATTTTATTATATTCTATAATAAGAAGTCAATTTACTTTTTAAGAAAAGAGACTAATTATGCTAAAATATGAAAATTTATGTGTAGTTAAAAATGAAACTATTGAGTTTATTAATAACAAGGATATATACTACATTTGAAATTTGGGATACTAGGTTACCCAGCGACAGAAATAGAAAAAAAAATTTCAATATAGTTTATTTTAACACATTATAAATTTAATATATAATTTTTTAAGATATCCTTGTTGTAACGCTCAACCGATGTTTGATTGTTTTTGGTTGACCGTAATAGACTTTTCAACAAACGGAAACGGAAGTCAAAATTTTTTATTAATTTTTAAAGTGTATTTTATAAATGTTTGTATTTTAAAAATAATTTTAAATGCGTAACCACGCAGCAAATTAGCGCAAACCAACTTTCTTTGTTTCGAATTTAGAAAATTTCTAAAATTTCTTATTAATTTGAAAAGCAATGGGGAAAAAAAAAAAATTAAAACAATTTTTAAAAATAAAATTAAAAAAAGAAAGAATGAAAAGTTAGATTTATAATGATTTCTAACAGAACATTAAGTCTTTAAGCCAAGTGTGTTGGATAAAAATTGAAAAAAGCCAATATAAATAACCGCATTTTTAGATTGTTTCCTATTAGGTCTACACAAAAAAAAAAGTTCTTATCCAATGACATTTATCTTTTTACTTCCGTGACGTTTATTTGTTTTGATAAAAGATTTGAAAAACACGTGAGTTTTGTTATCATTAAAAAAAAAAAAAAAAAAATATCAATAATAATACTTCAACATAAAATTGGTAAAGAAAATGAATGAAAAAGATGAGTTTTTTGATTTCTTATATGGAATTCAACTTCATCAGTTTTATGAAAAACTTATAAATGATTTGCATGTATCCCAAATCAATCATCTTGCTCACGTTAGCAAAGCGGATCTGTTATCTTTGAATATGTCAAAACCAGAATCACGACGTTTAATTGAAAGTTACAAAAGTTATCAAAAACAAAGTGCTTTTAAAAAGTTAAGG